GATGTCCAGGAGGCATCCTAATTAGCTGGGAACATAAACAGACAACCAAATTAGGGGCTTTACCTTTCAGCTTAACTCTTTATTCACCATGACCAACCGAAGCAACACCCTCATTACTGATGTTTGTGCTGATGTTCGACGTAATGTTTTTATGCTATTAGTGCTTAGTGTATATTTAGTTGATGTTTTTCTTAGTTAATATCTTAGATGTTATTGTTTTTCTTTTACATTTTATTGTTGGATGTAACTGGGACACTGTGTACATAATTTCGCTCTACCACATGTACCACATGAGGTGTGAATGACAATGAAGAATCTCTGACTCTGATTCTGATTACTTTTCATACTTTTCAAGGCTCTAATCTGCCAATTCATCACTTGTGAACATGAGACCCAGATACTTGAACTCCTCCACCTGAGGCCCAAACCCATAAAATAAAAACATGTTAAAGGAAAGTATAAAAATGAATGTTCTTAAGGCAGCAATAAGTTCTGTTAGCTGAAGTAAAATAATGTGTATCATTAAATATATGAAACTTGCTTAGCTGTCCCAAATTAGTCTGATATATTAAATATTAGGTCTAAATTTGGTTTTGAAGGGTAGTTAAAATAACAACAAAAACAAAAAAAAATAGGAGTCTGCCTAAATATTACAAATGCATGTAAAACTACGGGCACGCAGTTGGTAGAGCTGCCGCCTGTCAGTGAGAAAGTCGTTGGTTAGAATCCCGGCCGGGGGGCCATTCTGGGTGAAGTTTGCATGTTCTCTCTGTGCATGTGTGGGTGTTCTTCGAGTACTCCAGTTTCCTCCCACAGACAAAAGACATGCATGTTAGGCTGATTGGTAACTCTAAATTGTCCCTAGGTGTGAATGAGAGAGTGAATGGTTGTTTGTCTCTATGTGTCCCTGTAATGGACTTGTGACCTGTCCAGGGTGTCCCCCGCTGCTCACACAATGACTGCTGGATATGGACACCAGTGACTCCCATGACCCGAAAAGGAAGAAGTGGGTAAAAGATAATGGATGGAAAACTACACTTTAAATGTCAAAAACTATTTTTGCTTCTAAAAAGAGATTTGTGGAATCAATCATAGTTGTTAGGGTTTAGTGAGACTGACTCTAAATTGATCTAGTTTCCATTTAAGGAGGCATTAACAAAGCGAGTCTAATTCGCAGAACATTACAGATAAACACACATATGGATGACACATGGGTATCTATGTTTTGTCACACTCACCCTCTTACAAACAGGCAGTGAAGCAGAAATGTTGCACACATCACATCCACCGCACCGGGTTGTCTATCAAGGGCAGATGTGGGTTTTGTATGTTCAGTTGAGAACGTAGACCTAATTAAGTCTGTAGAAATGCATCATTTTATTTGGCTCTCTCGACTCTTTGGCCTTGCTTTGATGCAGTGATTATTACCAGGTCTTTGGCTCTGTAGAGTACTCGAGGGTGGGGAAGCATTGTGTCTCATGCTGACAGCTCCCAAACAAAATAACCCCCCTCTCCTTGGGTTGTTGCAGCTGAAACTCCCAGCTGGGTTGTCAGTGGTGAGGTCAGTAAGAGAATCCAGCTGTCTGCTGAGGTTTGTTCCCTGGCATTGAACCAGCCAACCATCTGTAGATCTTCTAGAATTGAATATTGAACATGTGCTCGCTGTATGTAGTACATGGTCACACTGAGGACTCGGTTTGCTTGCAAAAATAGTGGCTTCAAAAACAGATGTTTATGATATAATCATGGAGAGAGTTTCTTTTTCATTTGGATCATATGTTGTTTTCTTTTTGCTGTTGATCCACAGTTCCTCTCTGGCTGGGTGTCCTTCCACCCCATCAGAGAAAAGAACAGAACCCAGTTACCTCTTGTAGTGCTGTAATGGCATATCTTGATTTGTGTCTTTACATTCACATTGACATGATGACTCATTGTTTATATGGTCTTCTTACATGATAAATTATCCATCAAGCAGCCCTTATATCCATGTCCACCAGTGGTCCTCAGGACACACTGCCCTACTTCAACACACCTGGTTTAAATGAATGCATCATCATCAAGCTTTTGTAGAACCTGCCAATAAGCTGTTGAGGTTATTCATTCCTTTAACCAAGTGGTGTTGGATTACACCACATCTAAAACATTTAGGACAGTGTGACCTGAAGAACCAGGATTGTGAAACAAGCCTTATACAATGTTTGTTGTTGCTGGGTTGTTGTATTAGTCTAACTTGTGATTGAGAGTTTTGGTTTTAATGGGGAAAAAGTAATGCTTCCTCGAGGTTGGGGGTGAGTCTCTGCCCCAAGCAGAAGAGTTTTTATATCTGGGAGTCTTGTTCACGAGTGATGGTAGGATGGAGAGGAAGATGGATCAGTGAATCAGGGCTTCGTCCACAGTAATAACAAAATGCAAAGCCCTCAATTTGCTGTGTTCCAACTCTCACAAATGGTCATGATGCATGGATCTTGTGGCAGCTCGACGGCGTAGTGGTTAGCAGTGTTGTCTAAAATCAACAAGGTCCTGGGTTCAAGGGTCAGAACTGCGTGGAGTTTGCATGTTTTCCTCGTGGTTAGCTGGGTTTCCTCTGGGTACTCCAGCTTTTTCCCACAGTCCAAAAACATGCATGTTAGATTGTCTTAAAGCCCAGGCCTTCCTTACAAATTTGGGATGCAAGCGACTGAAAGGCTGGACTCTGTCATCCTGGAGGAACTGTTTTTGGGATCAGAGTGTTTGCACCTGGGATTTGTGGCTTCAAGTGCTACCTGCTATCGTGCACATAATTGTGGTGGCATATGACTTCAAGTATGAAAGAATTAAATACAACTAAACATGTTGGAAAAATGAATATTTGAATATACTTCCACAAGATATGAACTACGAATATCAATGAGTCCACACCTATAAACGATTTCTGGTAGGTTTTTTTATTTTATTTTTCTATATTTATTTATTTATTTTTACCAAGCGTATTGTCCAATTTGTTTATGTGGAAGGGGCAGGATTTATGATGATGCTGGTCCAATCCTGTTCAGCCTCCAGGTTCATAAGTGATAAAAGTTTGCTTTAACGGTCAGTGGCTCACACACTACCTAAATTATCAGAAATGGGTTGCAATTTTTTGAGGACTTTAGCTCTAAATCTTCTGGCTTATCTTTGTTCAACAGTTCTAATTTTCATTGAGAAGACTTTATTGTGACATTTTGCACTGTGATATAAGTAACTGCATGTCAACAAATCTTTCTATTCCACCCATCTGATAGGAAGAGAAATAGCCATTTTTAATATTGCTCCTCATTGGAAATAATTTTCTTACACACCAATACTTTCCTTACTATGATTTTCTGATGTTCTTTTTCTCATTCAACATATTTTCTGCCTCCAACTTTTGCTAAATATGCATGTGTAAAATTTATTTAGACATTGAGGGACATTGCAAGTTTCTTGAATATAATCTTTGAAGTATTCATAGTTGCTGATGATGCTAATCTGTTGTCTCAAATTTGAAATTTTTGTTCTCAAACGCCAATATTTGTGGCAATATGAAAATCAGAGTTAGACTGTAAACCTCGTTTCTAAGCCTGAAGGGGTTTAATGTATTGTTCATGACTTAGGTGATTGTTCAGGTAATTTTCTTGATAACACAACCACAGCAGAGGAAAAGTATACTAGTCAAAAAGTACCAATAGGTGCAAAATGTGTCCTAATTTTGAACATGTGGTTTTAACTTTCAATAAAACCAAACGCATACAGAAAAAAGATTCAGCTATTGCCAGTTCTAACCTAAACAAAGTGGTAAAATAAAGAACCAAAATAATTAAATGATTTGAACCTGTTATTGGAATTAATTTGTATGAATAGCCCTCCTTCCATCCATTATCCTTATCCACTTCTTCTTACCACTGGCAGAGTCATACAGTATATACGTAGTTATGGATCCCATTATGCTGGGGCTGGGTCCGAGTTTGTTTACATTCCCTGTACATACCAATTGGTCTAATACCGTATTTTTCGGACTATAAGGCGCACCAGATTATAAGGCGCAATATCAATGAATGGGTCTGTTTTCATACATAAGGTTCACCGGATTATAATGTGCATTAAGCAAAACAAGTTCATTTTGACAGATTTTTGAGCGCCATGTACCACATAACATCGGTTCAAGGTCAGTAAGCACAACCAGAATTAATGCATAAGGTGTACCGGATTATAAGGTTCACTGTCAATTTTTGAGAAAATTAAAGGATTTTAAGTGTGCCTTATAGTCCGAAAAATACGGTAGATTAATTTTTTGATGCACCTTTTTGATTTGCATAAGTTTTAATCTCAATAGAGGACAGAGCAATATAAAAAAAAGAATACATGCAGTTGAAGCCAGTAAGTAGAAAGTGTTTGAAAATAATTTTAAAAAGAAAAGGGGTCTTTTTGAATCTGTAATTATAGAGTATCTCCTCCTAAGATGCTTTTCTTAATTTAATTTAATTTAATTTATTCACTTGGTCACTGAAGTCCTATTCTATTTGGGTTTCTGCTTCAGGGATAACAAGAACCAGAATATATATTTTTTGAAAACCCCATAAAATTTCAGTCACCATTTATTTAATCGCATCTGTAACTGAAAATGATTACTTCACCGTTAGGTCCATCAGCTCATTACGTGCTATTGTCAACAGCCTCTAAGCTAATTACTGTTTCGCTGTATGATGGAATGAGTTATTGATTGATATTGAATGCTTCGTCATGGTGTGCGCACATGTTGCCAAAGTGTCTTAATGAAAATGTCACTGCAGTTTTTTTTCTTTCTTCGTGCCTACAGCTGCTCAGATCAATTTATGTGATCCTAAAACAGGGTTAAGTGTTAAATCGTGTCAGACTGTTTATCTTCCACGCGGGCATAGCTGTCGTGGAAAGACTTAAAACCTGATGATTAATCCCCCACTTTTTTTAAAAAATCCCCTAGGATTACTTATAATTATTTTTCTTGTCTTTATTTATCTTTTTAGGGGGCTGTTTGCCAGTAACTATACAGAAACCCATTACCTGGAAGATGGGACTACAGTCACAGGTCCTCACAACGTCACGGTACGTTTATTTTATTTTCAGTGTGTAAACTTGGGTTCTAACCAAGCACCTCTTATGCCTGTAGGATTTCTGGGAAACCCTTTTGGAAATACTCTGCTTCCTTGTGCTAATATTAGGGTGACTGAAGAAGTGAATAAAAATTAAATTGCAGTCAGAGTCCGCTTTTAACCCACCTGAAATTGCTCATAACATGTAGGTGAGTGGGTCCATTTTCAGAAAGTTGATTCATATTTGATGAACTAAAGGCAGACAGAGGTCAGAGAATAGACACAGTTTTAGGAAATATCTCAAGTCTTTTATAATGGATAAGCTTAAAACCATCCCCAAAAAATGATTTGTTATGCAGGTCCTCACGAATATCTTGAATTAGTGAACATTTAAGTGCACTTCAGAACTCACACTAACTGAAATATTCATTTTATTTATGAGCTTTGTACTTGGTGAATTGAGTTAGCATATTTATCTAAAACACATCTGTGAAATCTGTCAAATGACATATTTTTCATCATTTGCAACTCCAAGTCCAGGTTGACATATAGCTACATGCATAGTTTTTGGTCTATTGCTGCACAAACTACTTTCAATTTTACTTTAGTGCCAGGATAAATATTGCTTATATTCATCAAACTCAATTAGGCACCCCTCAGCAAAATATGCTCAGCTTTTTAACGCCTGAATTCTTTGAAAATATCTTCCATGGATACATAAATATCCTGCTATGCAAATATATTTACTTTATGTTATGATAAAATAAAGAGGTAATTATAGTACACTGCATTGAAAGCGGCTTAATCACGTGGAACAGTTTTATATGCTTTGTAGCTCCCACCAGCTGGCTTTATTTCACGGATTTGTTCATCTGCAGTTTGGAAAGCAATTAAATACCTTTTTTTTTCAGAATACCGAAAAAGCATAGTAAACAGCCTGCAGGGGTTCTGTGTGCAAAACACTTAACTGACTTATAGCTGAAATGCACAAAAAGGGGGATTAATTGAATTACATAATGTGCAAATTAACAATATATTTCACTTGAAGCTTCTGCAAAACTAGAGCTGCAGTTTCTGGTTTCAGCTCATTAGAATCATTGTCATTCCAAAGCATAGAGAATAAAAGGAGTTGTAGCAGGTCTTCTGGGTGCGTTCTGAGATGCCACCATTTAGTTGTCTAACTGCGGGTGGAAAGATCAGTTTTCAATTTGGAAAATAATATAATTGCAGCCAGAAGTCTACATACACCAATCACAGCACAGACATGAATGTTTAATAATTTGGGGCTTGTATTGATTTATTTGAACCATTCTTTTCCCTGAGTGGAATGGTTAAACAAAATGCCACTTCAGTGGCTTTTAATCAAGCATTGGGTGCACAAGTTTGAATTTATGGTATCTGCTGAAACATCAGTCTCACTGTCTGGTTTTACATTGTCGTGGACTGAAAGGGCACCGACCAAGAAAGAAGTCCCAGCTCAAAAAGCAACACTTTTCATCTCGACTGAAATTTGCAGCTGCCCATACGGACAAGCCAAATTATTCTGGAGAAAAGTTTTATGGGCAGATGTGGCAAAGATTGAGCCATTTACCCACCATGGCAAGATGTTTGTTTGAAAGAGTCAAAGTGAGGCTTTCAAACATGGTGGTGGAAGCATCATGCAGTGGTTTCCAACCCTGGTCCTTGAGGAACACCATCATGCATGTTTTGCATGTTGTTTCGCTCCTCCAACACAACTGATTCAGTGATTTAATTACTTACTCATGTTCTGCAGAAGCCTGTTAATCACCTATTAATTAAAATCAGGCATGTAGGAGCAGAGAAACAACTACCGTATTTGCCGCCGTACACGTCGTATAAGTCGCATCAGTCCAAATATATCTAATCAAGTGGAAAAAAATAAATATGTCACTTCGCTATACAAGTTGCATCTATTATGCGTCACCGCTGACCACCCAGAAATGTGGGCCGGTGTTGTACCAAAAATCGATTGGCTGCCAAATGGTGGCCGCGGGAGCATACACAGGAGGACTTTAACAAGATTAACACTTAAAAATAATAATTTGTTTGCTCAAAATTATAATAAAGGTGTGTCTCAGTGAAACCTTTCCTTAATAAATCACTTTAATGGTCAAATCAGCTGCATTTCTCTTTGGCATCACGGTGAAATGCAGCTGATTTGACGTTTGCTCCAGGAGTTCCGGAGCAAGACAAAGGTGGCTTGGTATGGCAAGCCAAGTGTCCCATTAAAATCCACTTTAGCTATTAATGAGACACTTGGCTTGTCATATTACTCGAGCGCTCTCAAGTGGCTGCAAATGGCAGTGTTCAATATTTTCCATGTCAGAATGAATGAAATCATCAGATTTCAGCCAAAAATTAGGTTATAAATATGGGGGGGAAAAACATAAATAAGTCGCTTCGCTGTATAAGTCACAGGGCATGCTAATTTATGCAAAAAGGTGCGACTTATACAGCGAAAAATATGGTAAAACACGCAGGATGGTGTTCCTCAAGGACCAGTGTTGGGAACTCCTGACAAGAAGGATTATGTCCATTGTAATCTCCTTGTCCTCCCTTATGTTCAGCTTCACTTCAAATCAACAGCTGAATAATTAACACCTGGACATAACTGGGTAATCCAACAGGATAATGATCCTGAACACACCAGAACTGGTTTTTGAGTGGATAAGCCAGGGTTGCATTAAATTTCGGGAGGGGGAGGGTGTCTTTTTTCAGCTGCTCCCTTCGACAGGGGTTGCCTCAGCAAACTCACCTGCACAACGACATTGGGGGTTTAGGGCCCAGAGTGGGGCAAACAAGGGTGGAGGCAAGTGTGGGTTCTTCACCTTTCCCACCAACATTTTGATGTAGCTGGTCCTTAGAGTCAAACCGGCAACCATCCAATCACAGGCTCGCCTTCTCTGACCTGTGCGCCACCAATCCCCCATTAGATTTCTGGAATGACCTTCCCAAAACCACAACCGCAACCCAATTTTACATTTGTAGAATAAGCTTAAGAGCCACATCTGTTCCAGGAAACCAAATGATTTAAGTAAACTCAAACAATTCTACCAAAGAGACTGGTCAAATATTGAGCCAGAATTAGAAGCTTGTTGATGATTTTAAAAAGCATGTGGTCGGGGTGCAGCTTGCTAAGGGACGTTTAAAATATTAATGGGTGCGTCATTTTTGACCCAGTGAGATAATAAAAAAATCAAAATAAATCCAATCTTGTGTTTTGTTTTTATAATCATTGAAGTTGTATGTTGTGTATTCATTCCCCCTTGGCAAAAACATGGTTTAAGCTAATTATTAAAAGTCCTAATTCAATTTGACGTTCATGCCCATGATGAGTGTATGAAAACATCTGACTGCAGCTCCATAAATTTTTTTTGTTTTATTCAAGAACATTTAAATTAAAGCCATATGATCTGGGAAGAGGAGTGAATCCCTAAACGCATGAAAAAAGCAGCAAATGTTTGCTTTAACTAGTTTTAGGTCAAATACCTGTTTAGCTGATTGACTATATGAACATTTGAACATCTTTTTGACCTCTGCCCCTCTTCTCATTCCTCTCCCATGACTACAGCTAGTTCTTCATGGGAGGACAATTTCACTGAAAACAGCCAGATCTTTTGAGACTGTACAGTAATTTATTTGTCCTGCCTGCAGGGAGGGAGGCTGATATAGTCATCTGGGTGAGGGATCTTGCAGATTCAGTTCTGTATCAACAGCGAGGCACTGCTGGGAGTGACTTCAGCATGAGTCAGCCTTTTTCTCCAGTTCTGTTTTACACCCTCTTCCCTTCTCACCAAGTCTAAATCCACATGGAGCACAATAAACAAGTGTCATGCGCTGCAACAAAAGCCATCCACTGGGAAAATCAATCACCTCCATGGATATTAAATAGTTAGCTTGGAATAATAAATGTCTATCTGGATTCACACGAAGGGTTACCTCCCACAATAATCTGGATTTTAGTTATGAATCTTACTTTATCACACATGATTTATTAACACTTAAGCACTTTTTGTCTCCCTTTCAGCAGAAACCATAGAAACTAAAAGTCTATTCATATCCTATATCAATACATCTTAGTCATGATCTCATCAAAAAAACATGAGAAGACAGCATTAACTCAGTGCACTAACTCCAACCCTGCTCCTCCAAACTAAACTAAGAATTCATTTGTTTTATGATGCGCTGTCCAGTTTTTGGCCTTTCTTACCACACTATAATTACCACACTCTTTTACTGTGCCACTACAATTAGCTTAAAGAGCTAAAGATAGGAAACGTAGTAAACATAAATGTAGTAAACCCCCCAAAAAACCCCAAACAGATTGAAACAACCTGTAAAAAGCTGTATGAATGGTCCTCTTCATTCTTTGGCTGCCCATTAGTGCAGTTGGTTAGCACAGCTCTTTGCAGTTAGAAGGTTGCAGGTTCAACTCCTAGCTGGGTCCTTTCAAGGTCGAGTTTAGCATGTTCTTACGGTGCATGCTAGGGTTTTCTTTTCTGAGCACTCTGGTTAGTTCCACACAGTTCCAAATACATGCATGTTAGATTACCTGGCTACTCTAAAGGTGTGAGTATGAATGGTTGGATGTCAGATGCACCTGTGATAGATAAATGATCAGTTCAGGATGCGCACCATCTTTTGCCCATTGACCACTGAAGATACCATACCATACCATACCAATTTATTTATATAGCACTTAAAACAGCAACAAGGCCAACCAAAGTGCTGTACAAAAGAACACAAACATGCACAGCGGACAGGAAAACATAAAATAGAAATACAGATACAAATAGCAGCAGAAGCTAACTAAAATGGCCAACAGAGTAGAGAACAGACCGGACCAAAACAAATCACACCGTGTTAAAGGCAAGCGAATAGAAGTGGGTCTTCAAGCGAGACTTAAAGACTGAGAGTGTGGGAGCCTGCCGGACACTCAGTGGCAACTCATTCCACAGTCGTGGACCTGCAACAGAGAAAGCCCTGTCACCT